TTGTACTTGTACACTTAATATTGTTACTCATGTTTCCTTGTACTTGTACACTTATATTGTTACTCATGTTCCTTGTACTTGTACACTTTATATTGTTACTCTTGTACTTGTACACTTATTATTGTTACTCACGTTCCTTGTACTTGTACACTTTATCGAAGATCAAGACGACAAGTTAATTTTAAGGCAATAACATTAGAAGTGAATTGACTCGTGTTTTTTCTTGCGAGGATTACTTTTAACGTCGTATATGATTAAAGTGAAAAGGTGATCGGGAAGTGTTATGTATTTCTACTTCTTTTAAAGTTTTATACTCCAATATTCCATACAGGCAGAAGCTTAAATGTATAAAAGGGAAAAAAAGAAATTAGTGGCAAAGCCATACTGGAGGAAGGGTTCTGGGATTCTGATACTCAGAAAAATTTTGCAATTTTCAATGAAAGTGGTGCAATTTGATGGTATTTGAGACTTTTTACACTTTCTAAATATATTTTATACATAAATATAGGAGTGCAGATTAGGGAGCGCGTGTTTCATGTTGCTGTAATTTAAATTATCTCCCACCCACCAAGGTACAACAATTTTAAGCAGAAAATTACAAGTACAAGGAACGTGAGTAACAATATTAAGTGTACAAGTACAAGGAACGTGAGTAACAATAGGCACGTGTACTGTACACGTGACAACCAAAGGTACGTCGCACGGGTTGCTTTCCCCTACAAACCATATCTGCATATATCAGTTACTCTGTAAGTTACCTTGTAACTTACATATATGTTAATTACTTCATACATTTGTTAATTACTTTGTAGATATTTCAATCTTTTGTTTTACACACATATGCCCCTGATAGCTAAGCGGTAAGTCTGAGGACTTATAACGCTAAAAATCTGGTTTGGATACCCGTGATGACTGCAGCACAGATTTGTTTGTTTGTTTCTTTTGAATTTCGCGCAAAGCTACACGTGGGCTATCTGCGCTAGCCGTCCCTAATTTAGCAGTGTAAGACTAGAGGGAAGACAGCTAGTCATCACCACCCACCGCCAACTCTTGGGCTACTCTTTTTACCAACGAATAATGGGATTGATCGTCACATTATAACGCCCCCACGGCTGAAAGGGCGAGCATGTTTGGTGTGACGGGGATTTGAACCCGCGACCCGCAGATTGCGAGTCGAGCGCCCTAACCACCTGGTCATGCCGGGCCTATTGTGTAGCTTTGTGTAGCACATAAATGTGTGTGCATATTTTAATTACTTTGTTAAGACGTGTACTTTTTCATATGTAGCACTAAGTTCACACTTTGATTAGAAATAATAATATCAAAAAAAATACAGGCTACATAGAACCGTCGCCAGTTACTTACACTGTTTCTTTTTATTTTTAATATACATACGTGTTAATTATCTGTTAATTATGTATAATGCTTAACTTTTACTTAAAATTATATGTTAATTAATTTGTACATATGTTAATTACTCCACGCAGAATGTCTGTAATTAGACGGCTTACAGTCACATGATGTAACTATCATTGTTGTAACAGATGGATTATTTAAATAGGGTTCCAACCGCTACTGTGTTTGTTGTATTTCAACCGGCCTGATGAATTCTGGATTGAGCGAAACGCGTCGTCGGCAATGAATATGGCGGACATCGTGTGGTTGAAACATTTGCATACACTCTTATTATTCATAAAAAAGAAAACAAGGGACTGAATAAAGAACGTAGTGTTAAAAATATAATAGGCCTAATACCAATGTCTTATGACAAATATAATTAATTATAATCCTACTTCGCCAGTTTAGACGTTCACACCATAATAATGGAAACAGTCACCGCAATATGGATACTGAAACCTAAACCAAAACACTAACTGAAATAATAAAAATGTTTAGTAAATCAATGACAAATGGAGAAGAGAAAGGAACGGACTATGTTTGTTGGTAATTAAACACAACAACACTCCAGATTACCGCAGTGAAATTTATGTTTGCAGCTATTAAATACTTTCAGTAGCTAGCCTTGTAACTAGTCACACGCGTGTCATTTTCCTTTGCTTATTTAATTTCGGCCAAACGACTAATTATTTTAGTGCTTGTGATAAACATACGAGTTTGTAAAAATGGCATAAAACTTGTAAAACAAAGAAAATGCTTTTAAAATTTCAATAATAAAAGATGGTTCTCTTTCATAGTTTACTCTCGTGTTTTCAAAAATACCTGTATTTTAATTGTAATCAGATTTTGTTTGTTATTAAGCACAAAGCTACACAATGGGCTATGTGTGCTCTGCCCACCACAAGTATCGAAACCCGAATTCTAGCGGTGTAATTCCGCATAAATACCGCTGTGCCACTAGGGGGTAATATCGAGTGTTGGTGTTGTTGTTTGTTATTGAGCACAAAGCTACACAATGGGCTATCTGTGCTCTGCCCACCACAAGTATCGAAACCCGGTTTCGAGCAGTATAAGTCCGCAGACATACCACTGTGCCACTGGGGGTAATCTGGAGTGTTGTTGTTTGTTATTAAGCACAAAGCTACACAATGAGCTATCTGTGGTCTACCCACCACGGGTATCGAAACCCGTATTTTAGCGTTGTAAGTCCGCATAAATACCGTTGTACCACTGGGTGGATGGGAGGGCTT